ACACATACATTTTGGATGTGTTTTTATCCGTGATTATTGCTATTATGGCTTCTTTCCACTCCTCTCTTCTACTCTCTGTAGGACTTTTAAAGATCTGTGGACAGGAAATAAGTTGCAGCCAGACTAGAGCATGGCAGAACACAGTGAGCTGGTTCTACAGCAATAATAATAACTAACTACTGACTGTGTTTGTGAACCTAAGCTGCAAACGATGCTGTGATCCTGTTTGCTGTGATTTGTTTTATTTTTAGGCCACTTAAGTGATAAAAGCTGCTATGTTAAAGTAACGTCATTGCATTCAATCAATAATAATAATGTCATGTAGGTGACTATTTACTTTCAGTGTGTTTCACTGTGAAAACTGTTGTAATATTACTTTATCAGTCTAAACAGATGTCAAACATGGTCTAGAATCAGCCCGGCAAAGGGTCCGATCTGGCAAAGTGGAGCTTTGAAGAGATGTAAAAACCGAAAAGGATGAGGGCACGAATCTTGTTCTATTTCCTCGTTAAAAATGTTTAATGACACCAGAGTTTGAGCTGTGAATGTCACCTGAGGTCTGAGTCAGTGTCACGTTTTCTGCCAGCACCCACGGCCATCTGCACCAAACTAGGTAACAGATAAAGAGTTCATATTCAGATCTTTTGTGGCCCCACATTTAAAAATCCAGCCTCAAGTTCACAAACCATCTACACATTCAAAATCTAATGACTGCTGTAAAAGAAAAGGAAAACAGGGCTTTGTTTACAGCCTTTTAAACACGCTTGGATGCACCTCAACTCCACATTCAAAACGTTGAGAATAAATAAAGATTTGCAGCAGAACAAACTGTTTCTGCTTACCGTGAATAAAGTGTATCACTGTGAAGCATCAGTGCAGCCCTGTCACTGTCGCTCTGATGTTGCGCCAAAAATTACACTTAAACTGTCATAAATGACTTGTTGGCTTATAATCTGTTAAAATGTGTCACACATCTGTCATAAATGATACGGAGTCACTCTGAGTGTCAGTGACACCAAAAATGTGTTTTTTAAGATCGATCTGGCAAAGAGGGCAACAAACCTTGTGGCAAATATAACTTAAAGTTTGTTTACAGAACTTTAAAGTGTCAAAAAGGCCAGTTTTTTTTTAAATAATGGAAATACAACGACACATAAACAGAGCAGGTTCTCCTTCATCGATCCTGTTCACTGCGGTGTGTTTACCATCAGAAGGAGAGATATTAGATATAAAACACCCAGCAAACACGCCGCGTCGGTCTTGGGCTCGGGCTCACCTTGTCGGTCTGCAGGCTCTGCGCGGTGCCGTAGCGGCAGTAGGTGACGAAGTGCTCGCAGTTGTTCCATAGCAGGCTGTAGGCGACGGTGCCCACCAGCCGCTCCGCCCGCAGCGCCACCTCCTCCCCGGCCAGCGGGCTCTTGCGCACCGAGTGGTCCATGGCGTTCAGCAGGATCCCTGCGCCGTACGCGAAGTCCTCCACAGAGTCCACGCGCACGCTGGCGCGCTTCGCGATGACCCCCACCAGCAGCCGCGTGTTGGTCACCATCTCCTCGATCTGGCGGCTGTCGGCGTTCAGCGCCGGGAGGATGTCCGGGATGAGATGCGCCACCCGGTCGTCGCCCAGGTAGATGCCAAAGTGAGTGAAGAGAGTCCGGGGAACCTCCAGCAGGTCTCCCCGCTGGAACCGGTGAGAGGCTGAGGCGGGCTGCGGCGGTGAGTCTTCCCGGTCACAGCACTTGCTGGTGGGCGGCGGTTCTGCGCACTCTACGCCCAGAGGAGGCAACAGGCTGGAGAGCTTGATGTGTGCGAGGAGGAAGAGCTTCTCCAGGAGGAAGGTGAGCGTGTCCAGCATGGTGAAGCTGCAGTAAACCGGTCTGTGATCACTGATCTGCTTCTCTGTGGCCTCCTCTGCGCACAGCCACGAGTTTTCCTCCTCACTGTGGAGGGGAGGGGGCGTGACGTCATGACCGCAAAGAGAGGCTGCAAGTGAAAAGCGGGTGTGGGACTGGGAGAGGGGGGCAGAGATGGGGGGGGGAGCTCTCATGGATCTGCAGAGCGGCTGGGATAGGTTTGTGAGTCAGGTATGAGGCCACGGCAGAAAAACAAAAACAGAACAGAGCTCAAACCGCAGAGCGTCGTCCTCCACCGCGTTCACCACCTCCACACCAGCCAAAAGGCAGAGTTCACAACTTTCTAGCACAGCAAAATGTGGCTCTCACACATTCATCACAACCACCTTCCTGGGAACTGTGCTGAGGTCACAGCTTTCCCAAAGTCACCAAATGGCCTAACACACACACACACACACACACACACACACAGGCAGAGTGAGCTGGCAGTGTGTCTGCAGAGCTGTGTGTGTTTGTGTGTGTGTGTGTGTGAGCTGCAGGCTCAGCTCCTGTTTGTTAAACTCAGAAAACTGATTAGTAAATAAAGTCATTATTCTTGGTACCACTTTAAACTCCTTGTTTACTTCCGAGCTTCCACCAAAAATCCCTGTGGGGGCTTTAAACACATCATCACCTCTGGAGCTGGAAATGCCAAAACAAGGACATAAACTGCAGTTCCTCTAACGACCACTGGAGGCTGGGACTCCCACAGACTCCTGCGTTAAAGTGTTGAACTTTAAATGAACATGTTGACAGACTCCTGCAGAAACAGTTTTGATCTCTGTTGCTAACTTAACCCATCATAACAACTGTTAGGGGTGTGGCCTTTTGATTGACTGACAGGTGAATGGTGACTAGGTGGTTGTAGCAGCTAGTTCAACTTCACTAATTGGACTCACTGAACTGGACCTGTGGACTAGCCCTTTACCAGCTGAACTGGTAATTCAGCTTAACTCGGTTTTAGTCATTTTCCATAACAATTGAGGACCACCTAATGTGCGTGTGTCATTATAGCATCACAGCCAGTAGTCCTGTGACGTCATTTATACCTGCTGTGGCTTTTCAGACTTGATGGTCCATGGCATTGTTTTTGTAGGCATTTACCGTAGCCTGGTACCAGGTACTCCTTTCTCTGTTCTTCTTTTTATTTCTATTATTCTATTCTATGGATGGATGATTCTATTCTATCCTATTCTATTCTATTCTATTCTATTCTATTCTATTCTTCTCTTCTCTTTTCCCCCTGCTGATATTTCAGCTGTTCTTCTGCCTGGTAACAGATTTGGGGTTTCAGCTTAGATGCATCCATATATTAGCATATCTTGCTAATATATTTTGAGCCATAACTGACACAGTTAGCATTTTTAAAATACCTAATTATGACCCAAATTCATTATACTTTAAAATTTCCTCCTGTGAGACACTGGCAACCCCCCCTCCCCCCAAAACAAACAAACAAACAAACAAACAAAAAAACAAAACAAAAAAGACTTGAGCTGAATTCCCACAATCCCCCCACTCTTTGCATGGCCATACAGCTACAACTCTGGACACCTACACCAATTAAACTTGCTGAGAGGCATCGTAAAAGTTATCACCCCCAGCTGGATTAAGCTAACATGCTGTATATTTGGAGATGGGTGCCAGATTTCTAATTGGTGCAAAGAAAAGATAAAATATAAAAAAAATACAACCAATAAATATAAACGTCTGCAAACAGAAATATAATTAAAATAGAGGATTCATTAGATGAGAAGTGAGGAAACAATGATGGTGTACTCAACACACTGTATAAAAGATCTGGAACAATTTCAGGACTTTCTTTTGGCTCAACGTAGATTTTTTGGGAGTGATTACACACCTAAGCCTGATTAGTCTCTATATAGTTCAGGCAGAGTCATATACTAACTTTTGTTTTTGCTCACAGCCACAGGAAGTCACTGGAGGGGGAAAAAATAGTTACATGGTGCTCCAGAGCAGCAGCCTTTAAAGCTGGGTCACCTTTGGTTATTAGACGAAAGGACCTCAGTGAGTCAAACTATGGAGTTCATTTTGTGTCACTGATCCATGAATGGCTTCAAATCAAATGAGGTTTGCATTTCACAGTTGATAAAATCAGCTTTTCTCTAGCAGCTGAGGTTTTTAAAGCAATCGAGGAGGAATTTGTCCAACTCATAAAGATGTGACAAAAGCATTAATAACTGTTTCTAAGAGATAACAATGGCTTTAACTTGGCGACGCCCTGCACAACACTGTAGATCTGCCTGTTAAAAGTGCAGAACCATTCCCTAAAAAGTGTCTGACAAAAGCTGTTTTACCTGCACTGTCCTCACACGAGTTTAAGGTTAAAGTCTACGCCATATCCGATGTAACTGAATCGAACACTGTGGCTGCTTTGCATGTGTGAAAACAGATTTAATTACCAATGCTGAGAGCAGCAGTTGTAGTCAGGAGGACAGAAGCTGTTTTTCATCCACCTCTCATTTCTGTTATTCATTCTTCTCCTGCCTTTCTTCCTTCAGAGAAGAAGGGGATTGTGAGGGGATTAAGGGTAGATTATAGAAACACACACACACACGGACACACTGAGCCGCCATCCCCCTGCTGAGACAGCCTAACTGGTGCTGAAAGATTGAGGAGGGATGAGATTTGCCTGCTGAATGAGTGTTGATGTGATCCCTGCTGAGACGCTGCTAAAAGGTGAATGGAGTTGAGTGACAGGCTGCTCAGCGGGTGTGTGGGTGTACCTATGAATCTGTTCACGTGGGGACCAGGAACTATTTCAGACCTTGTGAGGACTTTGTGCATGAAGGCATTTCGTCTGGGTTAAGTTGTTATTTTGTTCTCATTTTTTTTAACTCGATGGATTTTTTTAATCTTTAGTTTCACTTTGATCTTCTTCTTTCTGTGGTTATTTTGTGTCTGTTTGTGGTTGTTACGAATTAGTTTGCATCTCTGATACTGGTCATTGTCCCCGCCTCTTTTTGGTCGTTGTGAGTGTGATAGTTGTTTAGCACTTCTTTGTAAATATTTGCATCTTTTTCTCTCTTGCAGGACGTGACCTTTCCAAAACTATTGTTATTAACGACGCCCTCAGCCATGACAGTGAAGATGAGCTAAACAGTGATGACATATATGCTGTACAACATATGTTGTACAACACATCAGAGACTAGCATGTGTACTGAATATTGGAATAAAAAGTTAACTGTTATTAAGTTGCCAATGTCAGATACATGCTAGGTAACTGTACATGTTAGCGGTAACATTATTAATTTGTGCAATTACATGAAATCAATGAATCACGTGTTGAACATGATATTATCGCTGTACATGGGTTAGCTGCAGAAGTGATTTGACAGGCTAAGCTAGCATTTCTAATCAGACCTGATTGTGTCAGTAATAACATTTGTACAGGCTCTGGTAAATAGCTTTTTTGTGTTGGCAGGGTCACTAGTGTTAGCTAACCTTAGCAGAAGAAACACAGCTTACTGGGGATTTATGCTTCAGCGACAAATCTGAAGCTATATCATAGCCGCAAACCCCTCTGAAACTTATGTAGGTTAAAGCTGTGCTATAACCTGCAGTGTACCTCCCTAGAAATATAACTTCACATCAGGTCTACGCAGCCTGCAACTACTGTGATTGTTCAGTATTCCTCATGTGCATTGATCGTTACTTTTTCCCTACAGTTGAATTTTAAAGTAAAAACCATAACAGCACTAAAAGGACTCAGAAAAGTCAGCAAATTCAGCAATTGACGAAACTATGGATGTGAGAGGATTTTTTTTTAAGAAGTGGAAAAACTTGAGAGACAAATGTGTTTATCCCCAAAGAAATCTGACCACAACAAAGACCGGGACCCAGAAGAGGAACAATCCCCATCTCTAACTTATGTAGCTTACCTAAATTACCCCTCGAGCTCCACAAGGATTCTCAGCAGAAGTCTAAAACAGGCCTTAGAAGTTTAAGTCTGTATTGTGCTTGAAGCTAGTTGTTTGGTAGTGTTAGTGGACTAAATTTCTAAGCTAGCGTTAGTTAGTGTTGCTAACTGTCGACTGTCATAGACTTTGTTAATCTTATACTAGACAAATTTACACATTATGACAGCACAAGGGTTAGTAAGAAAAAGTCAACTAGAAGCTATCCGGTCGTTAAGTCTGACGTCACTAGCCGTGTCTGG